GAACATTAATTCAAGATGATGCAAAATGCTGCCGCTCATTTTGTAACCAACACATCCAGATGGCCGCACAGACGGTCTCTGTCAAATAAAGAACTGGGGTCCATCACATACCTCCTCCTATTCTATTCGCTCCACAGGCTTCCAGTTTCTTTAGAACATGATTTTAAAGGCTCAAAACTGCAGGTGCGTCCAAAACCTAAGCATGACTTCAAGGTCAACCAAGCCCAACTTAGGTCACTCTTCCATCAGAGCCACTGAGCGACAGCAGCTCTGGGAGTGTGTGTTTCTACTGAGCTGAAGGTTGGCAGGTGTGAGACCAGCTCCCATTGGTAAATTCTGCTGTGTGTCCTTGGGCAAGACACTTATGTATGAGTGCGTTCCCACCACCGACAAATCAACGTAGGACGGGTTTTCAGTAACTGAGTTTAAATTAGCAGCTTTTTGCATTTCTGGAGTTACCCAGGATGCAGGGCATCCTGCATGACACGATGGCCGCTCAGAGGAGTGATTGAAGCAACAGGTTCCTATCACTACGTTGCCGAACGGAATGTTTCAAGAGATTCTTTGTTCCTTCGGCTGTCAGACTGTACAACAAACCTGACTGACTGTACAACAAACCTGTTTGGTCAGTCAGGTTTGTTGTACAGACTGACTAACAAAAAAAAGAGTCTTTTGCTGCTGGACACCTGAATTTCTCTTACGGGGGAACAATAAAGTATCTATCTATCTATCTTTTGTGTAAAATTCTTCAACATGTGTCTGGGAATCGAGATCCTCCAGAGATGTCATATTACAGCAGTATCTGTGCCATGGATGTACAGCGATTATGTTAACAGCACCTGTATCTCTTCAGGGTAGAATGTCAACTCAGGGGGAAAGCATATGTCCACAAGCACTGCCTCCACTGTCAGTCCTGCTTTAATCTTGATTTAATCCTGGTTTAGCTCTTGTTTTGGTTGTTTTCAAGTGTCTGTGTCTTCCTGTTTTTACCAGCTTGTATCCCTGTGACCACTTTGCTGCTCTCCCATTGGCTGCCGCACACACATCAAGCGAGGAGGAGGAGTGATTTTCATCAGTACACTTAGTGGCAGTACCCATTAAAATCTGCCAAGCAACTAAAACGCATCTGCTGCGCCGGACTAAAGTGCGCACCGCAACGTATGTTTGAGTGTCTTGAATGATAGAGAAGTGCTATAAAAGTGAGCATTCACTAGAGCCACCAGTGCAAGTCTTAAACACAGAGGTGATCAGGCCGTCTCTGATGCTGGACCCAGACTCTGGAGCTAATCCAGCCCTTTGGCGAAAAGACAAACTTTAGAATTTAAACCTATCTACTCAGACTTGGTTATAGTAATAAGCAAAGGAACTGTATTCTGTATTGGTTATCTCATTGACTCCTGACTTGCATTATGTGTTCATGGTTTTGTATTGATTTTATTGTAAAGTCCTTTTAGAGCTCTAAAGGGCTCTATGAACAAAGGTTGATTTGTTGATGAATCAATAATTGTTCATTAGACTCAGAAAGTGACTCAAATCAATGTGCCGCTGACCTCATTGCAGTGTGAGTGCGGGAGCAGACGGAGTGGGGGTCTGCGGAGAGAGGGCCAGGAGTCGATTTTTCCAAACACCACAGCGGTCTGCAGGTAATTAAACGAGTGTTCATTGTGGGAATCCATGTGAACCGCGTCTAAGCTGCTCCAACACATGTACCAAAGCTGCCTAATCCTAAGGGCTGTTTGTGTTTTATTCTAAAGACAATTTGATTTCTCAGTTACCACATATTAGAGCAATGAAAACATACGAGACGCTTGGATGAAAAATATACATTCTCCTCACTTGACACGTCGTACCACTATCTGCGAATAATCATAGCACTGAATCACAAACGTGTGGTGCTTCTATGACTTTTCTGTGCAGCCACGTATGACCTTTGAGAACATATAAACTGTAATATCCTTGAGCTTTCCTCTTTTTACGACCCTCTTTCATTCTAACATCTGATGATCAAATCCCCACTATCAGGAAACCAGGAAGACATCACAAGGTCAAGATCAAAAAGCTCATTATCTGCTGCACGCCCACCCACACGCACCCACATACACAGACATAGACACGCACACAGACGCACACACATACAGGGATCAATACACGGTTGATAAAGGAATCCGTTATAGACTCAGGACCAGATAAGAAAAATAGCTTAGCGCCTACAAAGGTATAAAAAACAAACTAAGAGTGGGTTGAAGGGAGCAAACTGTTTGAGCGACTTGGGCGAGAGACATAAAAGAGATTGTTTGTTATGGAAGTGACAGAGGGACACCTTGAACTGATGAGAGCGGCCATCTTGGACAGGCTCAGAGCTGGTGGGTGGTCCAGAGGAGAGGCCAGAGACAGACGGCCAGAGGAGGAAGACACACGAGAAGAGGGCAGAGATTTGGAGACATGTGTAGGACCAGACTGGAGGACATGGTGTATTAAGTTACAAAAGTGCACGGCAGTATTGAAGTGGGAGGCACTATAGGAGAGTACATATTTCAGCTGATATGTTTTCTGCCAAACAACATCTAATATTCAACATTTATAGGCGTTTAATTATGTTGAAATTGCGTTTCTCTGTCATTGTCGTTGCCTTATATGTTTTTGTACTGAGATACTTTGAGTAAACTTTGTTCTAATGCATTCAAGACGTTTTACATATGCTTGGAGCAGCCCTTAAAGCACAGATTAATAAATAACTGCTCACTACTGCTCGGTAGGCACAATCTAGAATCTACAACGAGGTATGCAGGTCTGCCAATAATGCTCGATGGTGGTAAGTTAAGTGTACTGCCACAGCTGCCCTGGGATATGGCTGACGGACCTCTTCCAAGCCTTATGTTACGACACCAACTAAGAATGGGCAATTTTGGCTAAAATAAAAAAAACACACACAAAAAACCAATGACTGAATAGTCCAGTTTTTTCAGTGGAAAAAACTGGACTGAAGGATTTTTCAACATCAAGCTTGGTAAACATTATGCCTAGCGTACATTGGACTGGCAACTGATTATATCCGGCCCCTATGAGTTGCTGCCCCGCACACATCGACAATGTGGCAAAAACGGGCAACTCCCAGTATCAGGCCAGTCTCGGGAATAACAGCGCGTACATCGACAGCAACTGGCCTCAACTACAGTGTGTTTCTGACATAAACTCACATCGGGTGGTATCTCTGGATCTGAGTACAACTAGTTACCGAAAAGTAGAGCACGGGCAACTGATCACCTCCATCATCTCCTCTCAGTTGCCAAAAGCCGCCTTGCCACTAGTTGTCTCCAGTTACTCTGTTGATGTACGCTAGGCTTTAGACCTGAAGATGGCCATGTCCTTCATCCAATCATGTCCTGTTCAGTTTCATAATATTGAGATAATAATGAAATACTCACTTAAATACAAGTATTTTGGCCACACAAAACCCATTCTCCAATCACCAAGACTTTGATCATTTAAAGTTTAATGAATCCATGAGAGTTGGACTTTTTTTTCCTCCAGGAGCGTCACCAAAGCTCAACAAAATGCTTTCATTCATTTGAACATTCAGGCCTTCCTTTTCCCCACACATAAAGTTTCTAAAGAATAAGCAAAAGCAAAGCAAAGTGATTCACTGTTATGAGCACTCTTACAATTTGACTCGTAAGACAAACGTTCCTATAATTCGCCTTCTGCTTCATCAAAACGGATCTTTCCTGTGTGAGCCCATGGAGTCAGCCACCCACTCCTCTTCTCCGCGCTCACACATCCTCTTCTTGACTTCTTCATGTACCCGCTGTACTTCCCGTGTTGGGTTTATAAATGACTTCTGCTCTGTCACAGTTCCATTCACCGCCGACAGCACGCACACACTTCCTCCGCACTCCTTATATGAGCATCTCAGAGCACGCTTCTCCTGTCTCACCGCTCTTTTATCTGCTCCTGGTCCCTTTTTAGTCCGATCTGGCACAGGAATCAATCACTGCACACTGAGCTGCCAAAGCAAATAAGAGCTGTCCGTCTCCCCCAGTCATTTCCTACCACATTGTGAGTCCTACTAAATTTAATCCACTTTTGTTTGGATAGCATTGACATACCAGTGGAATATAGAGCAGAAATGAGGGAGAGGATTTCTTTCTTGGATTGTTCAAACTGTGAGACATTTCTACAGATGTTTTTTTGAGCTCCTTCAAAGTAACAGTGTTGTGATGGGCCCGGCCAAAAGCAAATACATCTGTGACAATGAAAAGAGAATGATTGCACGATAGAGAAGAGAATAATATTATGGTAATATTTGGTCAATTGTGTGACTGTTTGGAGGAATGATAAAAAGAGAAAGAACACATCCAATCCAGAGGTGGACGCTGTGCAGCCTGAAACCTGGCAGCTGAAAATGCCAAATCCAATGTTCAATTGTAAATCATAATAATTAGAAAACTACTCATCTCAATAATTCATTTTCTTTAGGATGAATGAATATTGAGCAGGTAAAGTCACCACTCAATATTTCCATAATGCACCTTGAACTTGACGGTGGTAACATTAAATAATGTTAATGTTTTTGCTAAAATGCTAAATGCTAAATGTACTGTATTTAGCATTTTACTCTGGACTAGAGCAGAGAAAATGGTCCGAACCGAACCACCTTTTGCCCTGTCCTGCTCCACCCAGAGGCTACTCCATCTGTGCTGCTCTGACCCGTCCTGCTCCACCCAGAGACTACTCCATCTGTGCTGCTCTGACCCGTTCTGCTCCACCCAGAGACTACTCCACCTCTGCTGCTGTGACCTGAGGCTGTTGCTGATTATTACTATTGACATCTTTTTAGAATTATCTATTTTATTTTTTATTTTTGCTGCTACTGGACACCTGAATTTCTCCTACGGGAATCAATAAAGTTGCTATCTATCTCACTTTGTTTTTAACTGCAATCTATTTTTAATCATGTTTGTACAGTGTCCTTGGGTTTAAAGTATTATCATTATCAATACCTCTTTGTGCAGGAGCGTGTTCCTCTCGGTCATGGTTTGCAGTTGAGTCTGAGCCTGGTACAGCTGCTGCCTCCACACCTCTCTCTCCTCTTGGACCTTCTGCTCCTGTGTCCTGCTCCGGTGTTCCTCAGACCTCCTCTCGTCCTCTCTGCTGCTCCTCTCCTCCTGCAGCTCGCCCCGAAGCCGCTCCACCTGCTGGTCCCGCTCAGCCAACTGTAACAACAGGCCATTGCGAACAAATACTTACAAATACTTACATACTGTATAAAGGTTTAATGCCCTTCAGTGAAACACAGGCCACGCATAGAGGTGAGCAGGTGGAGGACCCATAGTAATCATCATCCAAGTTAAAACCTCAGGCTGACGCTGAACCACAAGCATCTTATTTCAATACGGTGTTGACAGTAAAGTGTCTATTAAAGTATCTGGACTTGGATAGAAAGTTTTTAAGTTATAACCTTTTTTAGATTAGAAAAAAGATTTCCAACACAGACATATCGAAGAAATATTGTGGATTAAATCAAAAGAATTTTTTTTTCAACAACCAGATCAGCCTTTGATTGGATAATTCTACTGTGATGCCAGTGACATCAAAAATAGAAGGTCTCAATCTGAAAAAGCAGCAGATGAACTCCCACAAGATTAACATTAACACAACATAAGTAAATCAGAAATCAAAAGAAATCATCTTCAAAAAAGAATCAATACAACTTTAAATGTGTAATAGATGTAATGATGGTTTCAGTAAATTTATTTCTAAAAAATAAACTTTTGGTCTTAATAAATATCAAAATGATGGTCTGGTTTCATATGTAATTGGTTTAATATGAAAGTAATCACTTTGTTTCTACTCTGTGTAAAATCAAATGTAGATCTGTAAATATGTAACATTCCAGCTCATTCCATCAAAGAATCAGGTCTGACACAGATAAACAGTCACTGTTGAACATGTGACTAATGTAAAAAAACAGTTCTCTTCTAGCAACTACTATGGACTGAAGAGGTATTTGGATAAATGAAAAACATAATGTATCTTCTAGTTATTAAAATCAAATATTTGGGCCTTTTGTCTCACATTTTGGTACCCTTTAGTGTGAGCCAGCCATTTATTTGTGTTGTTTGTGTGGATGGATGTGTTTCTGCTGCTACTGGACGCCTGAATGTCTCCTGAGTGGGATCAAGAAAGTAACTATCTATATCTATCTATATCTATTCTTACTGTGCAGACTGTACCTTTCTTTGTAGATGAAGTAAGAAAGGACCAGTCACATATAGACTGAGCATATTGTTGTGGCAGATTGAATGTCTTGATCACACGACCCTATTAGTAGCGAACATGCAAGCTGGCAGTGTGTTTGTTATCTCCCTCTCATCCTGAGTGTCCTCCTCTGCCCTGCTATCTGCTCACCTCCCTCCCACATAGAACGCATGTTTGTGTCTCTCTGGGTCACCGTGAGGCTGTTTACAAAGAGGCTGCCGGAGCTGAGGTCAAAGCACGGAGATACTCGCTGCGTTTGTAAACCCGAACACGGACAAAAATATACAGCGCGTCCTTTCTCTGGGAACACTCTTCAGAAGAATGTGAAAAGCATTACTTCCAAACGCACGGCTGAGCACTAAACTATACTGTGTGAAATGGCAGAGTGGGTAAAGGGTCTTCAAATGGAAATCAATGTGCTGACCTTCTGTTGGAGCTGGGCCGAGTCGCTTTGATACTGCAGCAGGAGGGTCCGGCTCTTCTCTGTGTGGATGCTCAGTTCCAGACCAGACTCCCTGCGGACCTCCCTCATCTGCTGCTTTAGCTGGGCCGCATGCTCCAGACGCTGCTTCTCCAGGGCTTCTCTCAGCTACAACAAATGTACAGAAGATTAGAGTTGCAATACAGTATGTCATATTTTCATGTCAAGTCACCATTAAATGGCCCTAATCTGTCAAAAGGCTTTAATTAATAAATGGTCTTTTCAAATACTTCTGATAACAGGAGTTCAGAGATATTTGGATTTCAAAATTTGTGTTACAGCCCCTAAATCTTGTTATTATTTTAATTTTGATCGTTTTACCAATCAGAAAGTGTGATCCGGGTTGCCAGAACTCACCGTGTTGAGCTAATCTCACTGGTAAAGTGACATGTGGCCGCAGAACTAAAAAAGGTCTCGTTATGATTCTCAAATCATTAATAACAAAACAAGGAATAAAACAAGGATTTTTATCGGGGCCTTTTTGAAAAAGGTGTTGGTTATAGATTTGGTGTTGAAAAAACTCTTGTCTATTCAGCTTTTATGGTCTCAGCTGGATTCGTCTGCATATCTGGCAACCTGAGTCAGGGAGAGCGGGAGGTGGCAGTACCACATTTGGCCAGATTTGTACATACTGCACCTTTAAGATGGAGAGATCCTATATTTCATCACAGAGTTGGGAAATGTCAGTGTTGCATCAGAGAATGAGGAGCACACAACACAACATAAGTGAATATTCAGTATTATAGCATAAACCGATAGTAAAACATTAAAATCTCTATCTTAAGCTTAATAAAGAAGCAGAAGTAAAAGTACTTCCCTGTTGTGATACATAATCTAATAACAAAACAGGGATATACTCCAGAATAGCCACACAATATTCAGCAGGTGGATGCCTCATAATCATTCAGAGAGGATCTGAACATCCTTCAAGTGAAAGAGGTCAGTCTACCGGTGACATCACCATCCAGACAAACAGCAGCACCTGGAGATGTGTAATAAGCAACGTGAAAAGGCAGAAGACTGAAGTCTTAAGGGATGCAATCTAAATGTAGACCCGCTGTGAAACCTAAAGTTGCTCCAACTGCTGCAGGAAGAAAAGCCATAAGCCATAATAAAACAGACTGATTACAGTTATAAAGTCTTTGACATACTATTGATAATTGGCTCACTGAAACCCCAAAATAAAACATTTGAACCATTTGAAAATAGACTATACGCCATAATCATCAAACTGACGAAACAACAAAGGCTCGGCTTATATCATTACTTTCACATTTAGGGTTGAATTACAGAAATAAATTAATAAATGATAATCTACCGTAATTTTCCAAGTTTCACCTGCATGTGTAATAGGGGTGGACGATGTGGGCAAAAATAAATATCTCATAATTTTTTTTTTTCCCAAGTCCCGAGAATGATATTGTCACAAAATCTTTAAAATCATTCATTTTTACACAAAATGATCTGCAATGTTTTGCTGCCAGGCCATCTACGGAAAATAGCAGCTTGGAGAAACACATCCAAAAAGGCTTCTCAATATTCAATAAATGAACAAAAAAAGCAGTGATTGGGTTTCAACCACGCATTTGATGAATGAGCATCTTGCCCGCTCTGACTCTAATATGTATCGGAGATAGAGTTATAAAGAAATGTATGAAATTAGCTTGACACATTTTGATTTGATTCGATGACCCTTAGTTTTAAGGGACTGTCTCTTCAGCTTCATAAGTATGTTTCATTTTGACTCAGGACAGAAGAAAATGATAATGTTTTAAAACAGCAGAGGATTGTATGAAAGTAACTGAAACATGTCCAAAAGCATTTGACATTTGTTCAAAAGAGAAACTGCTTCGATGATGTCACACATGACTCATTGTTGTTGATTTGAACTAATAGTTTTGAGAACTTTAAGTCTGATCTGAGAAATGCATCAAAGTGACTGCAAATGACTGTGACTGTATTGTTTTGCACAATGCTTTAGATTTCCAAAGAGTGTATGCAGTAAATATGTGAAATACACAAATAAATGCATACACACATATGAGACTTGCACTCAGTTACCTCACTAAATACAGTAATGTGTATTTTTACTGTAGTTTTTGGCTGTACAGTGCTGTCTTGAGCATGTTCAGGTAGTGTCACCAAGATCTAACTGTTTTACATAGAAAACACAGAGAGAGTAAAGTGTCACAATGAAAACATGACTAAGCCATTTCCATCTTTAACACTGGTGTCAGGACTTATCATTTTGACGACACAGACAGTTTCAATAACTTTCTTTTGAGGAATCAACTTATCATTTTGAGAAAGTGACGCACTTTTGCAGGATATCTACTTGGTTTTGCAGTTCGTACTAATGGTTCTGAGAAATGCACTAACTGTTAAAATAGTGACTTTTCAGCTGATCTAAAATTAGCTCAAACTATTATGTACAGTGTTCCATGTGTCTCTCACTAATAACAGATTATAAACAGTCGCTCTCCTTGGCAGAACTACGATGAGTAAGATTAGCTGGAAGAAGAATAGATAAACCATTGACAGGGTTTGAATACAGTGTTGAATATTTAACTGACCTGTTTTTGTACCTAATTGTATTGTTTTAACTGAATTGCAATTTCAGGCCTGGGAAAAATGAAAGACCAAGTAAACAGCTGCTGTGTGAAATGTATTCATTCTTCATGTAAACTGGAAGATATAAGATTGCATAGCCAAAACATCAACTCATGTTTAGCTGTTCCAGTCACTGAAAAGTAATATTTCTTTTATCAGACAACACAATATGCACAATCTTAATCTCAAACCTACTCCTATAAACAGATGTAAAGTCACTGTTTGTAAATTCTACATGAAGTTTCCATGACCTGCTTTCCAAAAAACATAATTCAACCTAGATGTATAATTCGATTAGTCCAATGCTTGGCTTTTACATTTCTGACAACTTCTTGTTTTGATTGAAAGAGCATAGAGGGGAAAATGCAACCTTGGTTTTGTGGCTGTCCATATCCTGTACCGCGTTGAATTTTCTAACTTCCAAATATGCATCGCAGGTCACGCAACTCCGTGTGAATCTTGCAAAGTGCCATTCTTGTCATGAGCCGTAACCATGACAGCCGAGTAACTGGTTTGAATGTCACGTCCTATTCCGGCCCGAGTGGAACCATAAAAGTGTCATTGCGGGGACATGCCGTGTAGTGTGTGTGACAGTGTGTGTGACAGTGTGTGTGGCAGTGTGTGTGTGTGTGTCATATCTCGAGTGCCGGCTGTGGACACCTTGTTTTCCTTTGGCCTGCAGCTGGAGACGAGGCGAGCTGCTCATGTGTGCCCATTGTTCCAGCGTGTGAGAGGACGGGGCTGTGGGTGCGAGAGTGGCGTGTGAAGCAGAGCATGGGGGCTGTGTGTGTGCATGCATGCGCGTGCGTGCGCGTGCGTGCGTGTGTGTGTGTGTGGTATGAGAAGACACCACTTCCTCTGTGCCTCTGCAGACGTGTACGTGTGAGTGAGTGAAGCGGAGGATTGGGAGGGTGACTGTCGATCCTTTAGCTCTCGCAGCTGCTGTTTGTATGAACGTCAATGGTTGCTTCCTCTCTGCGATGATGAGGCCGGGGGAAGCCCATAATGGACCATAAAAGCAAAGGAGAAATGACTGGGAGCTTTAAACGTTTATCTAGCATGACAAGGGAACAATAACATGCTGGGTTACTGCTTAAAAGCTGGGGTACCTACCTAACTTTTTTCTTCCCATAAATAACACATTCTGTTTCGTCCTTGTCGAACATGTTGTGATGACATGGCGTCTTTTGGAAACTTAGAAAGAACCCGTTGAGTCACTAATTGACGTTTTGGGCTCAGAGCTGAGTGAGAGTGGGGGGTGGTCCTTCCTTTTTCACTTTTCTGTCTGAAAAAGCTGATCTAAAGATATGACAGAGGCCAAACACACGTATTTGAAAACGGTTTCCAGTGCAAGGAACTAGTTAGATGGATTTCTATTCCATTGAAAGATAAGAAGATGGGTACCCCAGCTTTAAAACTCCAATAATTACTTTAAAATTCAATAAATATTTGCAACTCTAGGCGGGGAAACATATTGCATGCATTGTGGTTACAAATAGGTTGCAAAGGGAGTGCAATGAAGAACTACTGTCACTCATTCTCACTTATTTTTAATTTTTTTTTTTTTTACATAATCCTGTTTTTATAGAGATACTTTATAAAGATATGGACTAAAATCCAAAGCGATCTGTTTCCGTTGGCAGTGCTGTGATGACTGATGAAGCGAGGCTGCCATTTAACAGGTATGACCACTTGTCGATCGGAAAAGTGCCCACAATCAGAGGATGGAATAATGAAAGCAACGATTGCATTTTTGTAAACCGCTTAATTACATTTGTTCCTAATGCGTAACTGGAGCCTATCCCTGTAAAGCTTTTGGCAGGTACACCGTGAGCAAACGTAACTGTCATTCAACCTCACATCCATTCACCAGAGGCAATTTAGAGTCATCATAGTGTCAACACATGCAAGTTATGGGAGGGAGTAAACAATAATCTGTTGATCTTCATCATGTGTTTTTGAAATTCTATGAAAGTCAGATCTATGCCATAATGTGTCCAATCATTTTTAAAGGGGACATCACCTGATTCTGTTCTCTATAATAGGATAGGAATGGGTAGATGGAACTAAAACAATGTTATCGAAGGAACGAGTCGTGTAGCTCCAGCTTAATTCCTCTTGCGTCACTTAGCCCCGCCCCTTTGTCGAAGCAAAACGTGCACAAATCTCCACAGACAAAGTTGCGACGCGATATTTATCTTTCCCTTTCTGTAAAAATGGCAAAGAGAGAATGGAATCCTCCACATCCTGAATCCTCCACATATCACGGATTCAGAAAAGAAAATTGGCAAAGAGAAAGAAGAGGCTAGGGGTCAGCAGTTAAGAGGACTGAGAGGAGAGCAATGGCGGTGAGTGTATATGAGGATATAAATAACCCAAACATCTAGGAATTGCTTTGTGTGTGTAAATGACAACAGATAACTGTGAATTGGCCAAAAGCTCAGAAAGGTCAGTTTTTAGGTTATGTCCCCTTTAAGAAATCTGATACCCCGTTTTCAAAAGCACACACAGACCTTTAGCAGATGGCTCAAGTCATTGCTGTCCCAGGGAACAGGCTCATTATATTTTAGGCATGGGTTTAGCACTTTATTTTGCTAATTGCATGTTTATCAGAGGATTCAGCATGCACAACAACAGCGGGGGGAGTTTAAAATGTTTGAACTCGTGCTACAAGGAACTGATTTATTAATTTCCATGTTATTTGTGTGTCTGTGAAACCAAACCTCCGGAGTTATTTGTGCCAGCGCGGGCCTGGGACACTGCTCCACTGTCGGGCTAATAGGAGACAGATTGCCTTGGTCTGCCCTTGTGTGATTGGGAGAGGAGAGTGTTTTGAGTTTATCTTGTACAGACTGGTGGTCCCAGAGCCTCCTAATCTTATCCATACTACCCTGCTCTGCTCAAGGCTCTCCTTCTGTGGACGGACTATGCCTTGGAGACTTTGCTTGTTTAAATTCAACATTGAAAATTGTATAAACCCAACCTGATTCACTAGGATGATAAAGAACCGCTCTCCCTGTGAGGAGAGCGGTTCTTTCCTAAAATTCGGGAAAATCCTTGTATATACCTTTAATTGTTTTATTACAGCAAACTTTTAGTGAATATTTACTTTTGACATAATTCTTGTTAGTGATAGTGCTGCATCGGTTTGCATGTTTTTAACAATGCATCTTCACAAATGACGAGATACTTTGTTTACCACTCCTCAAACTATTTTCTTTAAAACATCTGGAAAAATCTGGAAATTTTCAACAAATGGCAGAACTCTTTGCAAAGCCATGTAGTTTTGGCCTCTGGTGACTCATTTAGTCTAATTATGAGAGGGAACCATCTGCAGAAAGAATAAACTCCACAGTCTACATGTTCTCTGGTGATTATAGAAAAGGGTCTGGGGATTATTGGCTCTAATGTAAAATGTGAGTTTGGAGTTCAATCCGGTTTGATTTGTGTGGCAATAAGAAGGATACATCTATGTTTTGATCTTTCATCGTTCTAGAAGTTAAATGGTTATATTGGCTGTAAATGGAAGTGAATCTTTAGTCCTTTCAGAGTCTCCATAGAAACATTTACAAATGTAATTGAATTTATCAACTTTAGAAATGTGACTTATCTCCCATCTATAGAATTATACTTGATTTCTTAGTGAATGGGGGCAGTCTCTCCACAGATCTGCCCTTTACGTTTCTTGCCAGCTTAGACACAGTAGGTTGAGCACACACATGAGCTCAATGAATGTTTTTATTGTGAAGAAAAAGCAGAATATGAACATTATTTATAATTACACTGATGCAACACTATTTCTTGAGTGCAATTTTGGCTTCTCTTCCCAGTGCTCCATAAAACTCCACTGACTGTGACAATGACTTGGAATCCGTCCTGCCGTCTGCTCCCTCCGAGTCCCAAACACAGCGCCCAAAGCCTGCACACTGGCACGCTCTGCTGACGGTGATTTACTCCAGCTAATTACGCATAATGATAACAGTGAATGAAGCAGCATATTGATCCGGTTACGGCAGCTAATGTGAAAGTACATCCCCAGGGCTCGGCAAATCACATGAGCTCATATGCGGACACTGTTGCATTGTTGCTATAGTATAATTTGGCATGGGAAAAAGGGATTAAGGTCTTAAGCGGTGGTTAAAGAAACGACAGCTTGTGGTTTTGGGGCAGATATGACATTTTTACAACCCAAACCTCAGTAGTGTGCTGCAATTTCAGTGACACTTCAAATCCCCAAGACACTGTTCAATTATAGCAAGATGTTTTGGAAAGCACAGCATAGCAACATATTCAACATTCAATCAAATCACAAAGATAGGGCTTGGTTTGTCTGTGCAACTCTACACTAGTCTATAACAGCACAGTCTGCAAAAATACCTTTTTATGAGACTTTATTTTATGTATTAATTTGACAAGATTTGTGACAAGAGTGTGGTTCAAAAGCCTTTACTTTAACTTTCTTAAATAACTAAGTCAGAGTAGCTCTTTCTCCCTCACTCGTGGTGGATGAAAACATTTTCCTTGTCTTCCTCGTCTGGATGGATATGCTGTTATAGGTGTATTGGTTCTTTTGGCACCCCTTCGTGCTCCAGTTTGCTCTGCTTTGGTGAGATCACTAATTGACGCTGGATTTGTTAAATATGATCTGTGACAGCTGCGTGACGTGTTGTGTTTCATGTATGTCTTATGTGTATTTTCAGTGTAGCAGCCTGTGAGTCCAAGACAAATTTCCTACGGGACGTAATAAATTAATCTTGAATCCTGAATCTTGACATCTCATTTAGTCATTTGTGCTTGTGAAAGTAAATGGTCCTTTCAAAAAACATGATTTCCCATTGAAATGTCTAAACCTCTGTTCAATAGTAAAGACCAGAACTTTAAGAGGGATATTATGCAAGTCAACTTTGCATGATATGTGCCCTTTAAGATGTAGATGATCCAGATATGAACTGAAATTGATCGTAATTGACATACATACTATTTATTTTTCTTGCTTTTTTCTACCTGAGGTTTTGATTTGACTTTGGACTAGAGCAGAGAAAATGGTCTGAACCAAGCGGCTACTTCACCTTTTGACCCGTCCTGCTCCACCCAGAGCCTACTCCACCTCTGCTGCTGTGACCTGAAGGGCTGTTGCTGATTATTACTATTGTTATTTTTTTAGAATGATCAATTTTATTTTTGCTGCTACTGGACACTTGAATTTCTCCTACATGGATCAATAAAGTATCTATCTATCTATCTATTTATCTATCTACAAGGTGTGAATATTACTCTTAAGCCGATCTTAGAAGGTGTAAATGCTGGCTCCTATGAGTTCTTTTATCGCTGTGTGTTGTTTTCTTCACTGAACAGAGATGCTGATTACTGCAGCCACAACACTTAGTCAGAAAGGGGAAAACTAAACAGTCCAAACCAACTCACGTTCCCATAACTTTTGAAACAGCTCGGAAACAATAGCATCTCATTAATTCTCCCCAAATTCTGCCTGAGAAAGTCCCCAGATTGTTGGGACCCCTCGAGACAAAACACAGCATTCGATTAAAAAAACAATTCTGAACTTGTACTGCAACCAGACACATAATATTTGCGAGAAAATATTTTGAGCTGTTTGCATTCCGGGCAAATAAACGTAAACATATAACCAAACGTTATTTTCACCGTCTAATCCCAGCAAAGGACAATAACACACAGCAGTTTGAAATGTCTTAACAAGCCTAAAAGGGGATTAATTTGTTTTTTGTGTGTTTGTAGTTATTATTACCTTTAAGGCCAGTTTATTTTGGAAGTCGTGCTTGAGCTTGTCCAAGGCTTTGTGCTGTGATTCCGCACACTTGTCCCTGTGAAAACAAACCAAATGTTGGGCTCAGTTCAATGGAAGCCTTTGAAACGAAACACGAAATTCAAAACCACTCTTATAACTCTATAACTCTTATTCAAGTGCAGAAATGTTTCACGCAGCGTCATGGCGGCTTTGATGACACACACACCTGTTTGGGACACATTCACGCCTCCGCCACGCTTGTCCTGGTCCTGGTTTTTACCTATTGTCACCGGATTGTCTGATGTTGTGAAGATCAGGTTGAGAAATAGAAGTAAGTATTAAGTATTAAGAAGTGTCTAAGTAGTAAACTAGTACAATGTTTTTGAAGTACAGATATTTTCCATCAGTCCAATCACTCGTTACTATCAGACCTATGTTTTTAGTGGTAGGGGAGACCGGAGCACCTGGAGGAGGCCTTGTGCATAGTGAAAGTATTGGATCATTCAAACAACATGGATTCCATTTAAATGAACAAGCTGACCTAGAGCCTCTATAGTTGATTATAACATATTTTAATGCCAGGATCAGGACCAGTGAGTTTATCAAAGATAATGTTGTATGGGATGCTTTGATATGATCGCTCTGAAAAGATCTGGATTTCATATTTAGCACCACCTACAGGTGTAAGTAAGTAAATAATCTTTAAATATATACCGCCTTTTCACTGCAGAGTCTCAAAGCGGTTTACAATTGTTAATTATGGGCATTTGTCTCTCACTCCACACAGAGATGGGAGCGGGGTCGCCAGTACAGGAGGCGCATGCCAGACCTGCCTATTGGACATATTTTTAGTGGTAGGGGAAACCGGAGTACCCGGAGGAAACCTACGCAGACACGGGGAGAACATGCAAACTCCACTCAGAAAGGCCCTGGTCCGACCGGGATTCGAACCCAGGACCTTCTTGCTGAGAGGCGAGAGTGCTATCCACTCAGCCACCGTGCCGCCCGATGAGGTGAAACCCAGATTCTGTCAGAGCTCTGAAACTAAGCAGGGCAGGATCTGGTAAGCACTGTGATGGGAGACCTCTGGCAACACCAGGTGCCACAGTGGAGCGGCTGTGGCTATAAAGTCCCAATCTGTCATTGTGTTAGTCAAACACTTGGCCCACATTGTCTAGACTCTAGACAGAAGGGCTGATGTCACATACGGATTGCCTCGCGTCTGTCAGTGTGACCCAGGGCAGCTGTGGCGACAGTAGTAGTTTATCATCACCGTGCATGGAGTGAATGAACAATGGCATTTGAAGTGTCTTTGAGCGTCCAAAAAGAACTATATTAAACTAACGCATTATTATTATCATTATTATCATGTGTGCCCTTTAAATTGTAGATGATCCAGACATGAACTGAATTTGGTAATCTCCTAATGGCATTTGCATGACAGACTCACAGTAATGACAGGGTGAAGGGTGAGACAGTGGTGCGGGGATTCAACAGTGAGCAAGGCATGAAATTACAGATGCGGCAAACTGACTGTAGAAGATCAAATTAAACTTCTGACCTCTATCAATATTGTTTACATTTCTGTAAAATTAACTGACGGAAAATGTCAATGATTGTTTCTTGGAACAGTGCACGTTAATAAACACTCATGTCTGGATTCACTCATTCACCCTCAACTATTGCACATTTACAGTGGAAGGGAAACCGGAGCACCTGGGGGAAAAATGGTACACAGACACAAGGAGAACATGCAAACTCTACACAGAAAAGCACGGACTGATTCACACTCAGGACCTGTTTGCTCCACCGTGCCATTTCAATGATTACATTTGAGATTTTGGGGACATTTCTCTTGCTTCATTGTAATTAATTAGAATTCCCAGCTACAACTCATTTAAAGCAATAAAAAACAGCAGTCGACTTGGAGGGCTTTACAAAGTTGTCGATTCCTCAACAACAGATCAGAGAATCAAACATTTGAAATACAATAATAACAAATACACAGGAGCCATTGGTCTACAGGGGGAAATGTCTCATCACTGTCCATAGACAAGGGGTGTCCAAACTTTTGAGGAAGAGGGCCACTTTAGTTCACCAAACTAGTCCAGGGGCCGGCATCACGGACTGAAAAACTGTCTTGACTAACATCGGGCTGTTCTGAGCTTTAAAATGATCTATAACAGAGCAGAAGTTGGCTGAATGACACATGTTTACCATCTCACCAGCGACATTAGCACCATTAACGTCAGTGTGCAAATCAAGTCAACGACGTACTGGGCTTTATAACAAGGTCTATATTGGCTGAGCTGAAGTTGGATGGATGACACAGTGAACTTGTGTTTATGATCTCAAACACTACTTTGGGGTAGCAAGGCAGAGGGCCACATGAAATGACATTGAGGGCCGCATTTGGCACCCGGGCCTGAGTTTGGACATGCCTGCCTTAGACCCTCCTGCATCAACAAGGAATGACTCGAAAAAAATAACTTTGGGGAGGCTCCGGGCGATAGATCCAGGACTCAGGCTGTATAATAAACATATAAGAGAAAGCTTTTTAGCGCAGCGTACACATATCTCAAACAATATTTGCATGAGAGCTTTGCACCTGAGTGGAGGCGCATGCCAACAACTCATCTCTCAGTCACGACGCAGAACGCACACGCCACTCTTGTAATGGCCCTTTCAGCATAAAACATATTTGATACACGCACTCCCACGCTCCCAGGGGCGACGGCTGAGCAGAAGTGTGTGAAAAGTGCAGATAAAAAGCCCAGCGCTGCATGCGGAGAGAAGATGGCGCGCGGATAAGCACCGAGGCCAAACTGAGCATTGATTTGTTGATGTTGGGGCCAAAAGTAATGTGTCATTTCAGCAGCTGCCTCGGCCGATAAGACAGCGAGAAAAAATATCAGGCGTGTGGTGAGCAATGGATGTGTTTGAGATGGAAAGGCTTCTTCCAGTGGGGTCTTACAGAAGCAGAGAGGGGAAAGGATTCTATTAAGGGTTTTACATGTACAAATGATACCGCTGCTTCAATCTGATTGGATCTGAAAAGGCTCCATTTACACACGTCACCGCTCTCTTCTCATACACCACAAACTATGGTCATTGCACCACATTTTGTTCTTCCCCATTCAGTGTTACCCTTTGTGGATGCGAACATCACTTATTTGTTGTTGAGCTTAGACAAACATTTGGAACAATTACATAATATGCAGACATGTAAATCTTATTCTTTATGCACTTTTACTAGTTTTACTGTAATCCTCAAAATGTGATTATTCCACATTTCTAGAATCTGGACAAGTGCAATTTGATTTTTTGATAGAAATACAAACATAAATGTATGTAAATGACATTGTTTTTCATTATTTCACATATTTTGATTGATGAAGGTTTTATGAATGAATTTGAGTAACAATTATTTGAAGAGTCCATTAATAAGTAAGGGATATTTTCTTTTTCATAAAATAAGTACTGATAGGAGGGCGAACCGGATCCCAACGCTAACAGAGGTCTACACTCTGACGGTAAATGTTTTATTTATGTTAATGCATACTTACGGGTTAACCGGGATTTCTCATAATCATCATTTGGACATAAAGTCTTCTGTATTTGGTTTCTCAACAGAATCAAAGTTTAAGTCTTGACACAGTTTAAAAGAATGTATTTGTTTATTTTTGAGGAAAGAGGAAAAGCTTCACCTCATCAAGCTGCTCATCGCTCGACAAGATAAAGGGTAAGAGTACGTTCACTTTGGTTTATGCACTGAAACACATATCTGAAGTTTGACTTGATAGAGATTCCTGACCAGTTACACACAACTTTAACAGTAAACAATTACTTTGCCAATGAAACAAGAACTTATTCCATTGGCCAAAAGTTCTTGTTTAAATTAAAATGTGTGAAAACTCACCAGAAACATCTTAAAGCAGGTGAAACCTCTGAAGTCATGTTAGATCCTCTGGAACTAACTATGTTCACTGACTAAGATCATACCTCCTCAAGTCACGTATGACTCGACAAGATAAAGATCTAGTTTAGTGTCATGTTAGCGTGATGCTAGCTTTGTCCTGAACACCACGTCTAACACTAATGTCTGTGTTTGTTTTAGAAACACCACCAACTCCTCCTCCTCTTCTTCTTCTTGTGCAGCCCGTTGACTTTGTCCTGGAGCTCATGAACCTGGAGCTCCAGAGCAGTGTTGTAGTCCTGAGAGGAGGTCAGGTCCTCAGACAGCTTCTGTACCTGCTGCTCCAGGATCAGCCGGCTCTGTTTCTCTGAACAGAGCTGATCTCGGTGGAGCTGCTGAAGCTTCTCTTTGAGGACTTCTTTGACGTCTCTGTTGCAGGCAGGACGTTCTGTAGTATTTTTCATATCAGTGCTCTTTAGTTCCTCCTCCTCACTCCACACATTCTCAGTCTCTTGTTTCTCCTCTCGCAGGACTTGTCTGAGCTCGGTCACCTGACCTTTCAGACTTTTCTCTTCTTCGGCCCTCTGGTTATCCTGGAGGGCCTGGGTTCGATTATCACTTTTCATCACCTTTACCTCGAGGTCAAAGTTGGCGACTTTCAGGTCTGCAATCTCCGCCCACACAGCTTCTCGGGCTTCCTCCACTTGTGCAGCAAAAGCAGAAGCCTTCTGTTGTTTCAGATGATGGATCTCACACTCTTTGTCCTCCAGCTCCTTGTTGTGTTCATTCTGGACATTCTCACACTGTGCTTTGAAGGCCTGTATCTGCTCCTGTTCAGTCTGAAGCTTCTCTTTGAGCTCCTCTACCAGCTGCAGCAGAGCAGTCTGGGAGGTCTGGGCCTCTCTGGTGGCCTGCTTCTCCTGGTCCAGGGCAGATCTTAGGGCGGACACTTGGATCTTCAGCTCGTTCGTCTCTCTCTCCTTCTCCTGCAGTTTGTGCTCAGCTTCACTGGTGAGACTCTTCTCCTGGTTCAGGGCAGACGTGAGAGAGTCCAGTGTTGTTGACAGCTTCTGTGTCTCTGTCTGTAACTGCTCCACATTTCTCTGGGCTGTGACTGTGGCTTGGTCTCTCTCACTCAGATCTGACTGGAGTTGGGTCACCTGACTCCTCAGTGACTCCTTCTCCTGCTGCTCCTGCTGCAGCTCCTGTTGCAGAGCTGTGATCTGGTTCCTCAGAGCAGCCTTCTGTCGGGACGTCTCAGAGATTGCATCCAGGAGTCTCTGTGCTCTCTTATCTTTACGGTCCAGTATGGTTTCGAGCCTGGCGTTTCTTTCAGACAGATCGCGTATCTCGTCCTCCACAGCTTCCTTGGCCTCCTGCATCTGGTCACGAAAAGCATCCTCAGCCCTATCCTCTAAACTCCTGATGACATTGTCTTTGGCTTCCAGTTCTTTCTTGTGCTGATTCTCCATGTACTCCATCCAGTGCTCGCACTGAGCCTGGTGGCGAGATTTGAAGGCCCAAATCTCGCCTGGATCCCGCTCTACATCCAGTTTGAGGTTCTCTATCTCTGTGAGAAGCTCTTCCTGGGAGGCCTGGTTCCTCTGCTGTTCCCTCTCCAACTGTAGCTTCAGCTCTTGGTTCTGTCTGAGCAGATGTTGAGAGAGGGCCTGGTCCTGCGGAGCGTCCACAGACACAGTGTTATCAATGAGCCGTGTAGGAAGTGGCGGTTGGTTCGGGCGGGGCGTCCTGCGCCTCCTGCGGCGCGAACCATGGCTCATGTCAACGTTTTCGTTGCGAAAATCCATGTTTTGTTCTGTTCGTTTGTAACTTCTGAAAATGCAAATCTGTGCTAATGTCTCAAGTGATTCCACTCCCATCAACTCAAATCTAGGCCTTTGATTATGTCAGAATGCTGATGTCATAGTTACCATAGCAACAGCTATTCTGTGGAATCATCTGGTTTCTATAGTTACCAATATTACATTACACTTAACCGAAGAATATATATACATATATATCTATCTATATACATATACTGTAGATAGATATATTTATCTATATCTCTATGTAAATATATATATATATGCAGTACAGGCTTTGAGTGGCTGGATGGCAATGAGAATAACCAAAAAAAGGTTGAAGGAGGCAGGCTTAGGCTTGGTCCACTTATTTTTATTTTCTTCTTCTTCCCTTTAAAGCGACCATTGCAAACAAACAAAAGTGTGCAAAAGTGCAAAACAAAATGATACAATAAATGGAGCACAGGAGCATGTGTTCCCCAGCAGCAGGACCCTAAAAACAGGCGCTTTATATACTACTGGGTAAAACCAATTAAGACTCCAGTGTTGTACCATTAACATAAGCTACAATAAACTATGTTAAAACACAACCAACTATACTAATAAAACACTCCCCTAGAAAAATATATTTCCAAAACACCCACCTATAAATATATATACAAACGAAAATAGTTGACTTGGTCCGGCCGAAACCATAAATATACCCACCCACCTGGACACAAGACAGTGGTGAGTAAAAGCACTTTTTAAAATATTTCAAACAGCCACACTTATACCATTCACCCGCTAACACCACACATCGCACACACCCGAACCCAAACCAAACACAACTAATTTACAATAAAACACATATATTTTATTCAAAGCCCAAATGTAATGTTGTTTTGTTTGTCTCCAGCGGCCGCCATTACCGAAACTCTCAGATTCAGGACAAACTAAGTTTTTAATAAATGTTTTAAAAATAACAATTTATTATATGTGCAAATTAGTGTGTTAAAATATGTGTACCGTGCAATCTAAAGTGCAATGTGAAGTTCAAAAAGGTAAATGAATAAGGTACATGCAGGATATTTACATAAGTAAAGAACTGCTGTTCTTTACTCGTGTCTCCCTTTCTCTCCTCACGTCTCTCTCCCTCTGTTTACGACTCTGCCATCATCGGACTCAGTTCCGAGGACGATGACGCAGAGTACAGAGGAGTAATACAGGACTTTGTGGACTGGTGTCAGCAGAACCACCTCCTCATCAACGCGGGGAAGACTAAGGAGATGGTGGTGGATTTCCGTAGACGCCCCTCTGCCGCTCCAGCTCCAGCGAACATCCAGGGAAAGGGAATGTTCGCTGGAGCTCTCTTACAAGTACCTGGGTGTTCATCTGAACCACAAACTGGACTGGACTCATAACACAGACACCCTCTTCAAGAAGGGCCAGAGCCGGCTCTACCTGCTGAGGAGGCTCAGGTCTTTTGCAGTGCAGGGGCCACTCCTGAAGCCTTCTATGACTCTGTGGTGGCATCAGCCATCTTGTACGGTGTGGTCTGCTGGAGCAGCAGCATCACAGAGAGGGACAGGAAGAAGCTGAACAAGGTCATCAGGAAGTCCAGCTCAGTCCTGGGCTGTTCCCTGGACACAGTGCAGCAGGTGGGGGACAGGAGGGTCCTGAGCAAACTAACATCTATGCTGGACCATGACTGTCACCCCCTGCAGGATACTCTCTCTGCTCTGGAGAGCAGCTTCAGTGACAGACTAATTCACCCTCGATGTGTGAAGGAGAGGTTTCGCAGGTCTTTCCTTCCTGCTGCTGTCAGACTGTACAACGAGAATGTGTAACAGGAACTGCTGAGTCTGCACAAGTGTCACTGATAATTCACTAGTAACTTTGTCACTAGTCACTTTACCTGTTATCAGTACTACTGTATTATTACATATCCATCTGATAATTCTCCCATTCAAGTCACTTTACCTGTTGATATTATTTCTCATGTTTATTCTGCTCATATTCTCCGCTGCTAATGTATAATATAGACATCTGTAAATACTCTGAACCAAGTGCAATTATAGCCCAGAGTTTATCTTATTTTATTTATCTTAAATTTATTGTCTATTATCTTAAATAATAGACTTTGATGTGTGCAATTTGAGAGCTCTTATTTCCTTTCTCTGCTGTAATGTGCGCAACGATGACACTGAAATTTCTCCACTGTGAGACTAATAAAGGTTTATCTTATCTTTACTCCCGTCTCTCTCCCTCTGTTTACTCCCGTCTCTCTCCCTCTGTTTACTCCCGTCTCTCTCTCTGTTTACTCCCGTCTCTCTCTCTGTTTACTCACGTCTCTCTCTCTGTTTACTCACGTCTCTCTCTCTGTTTACTCACGTCTCTCTCCCTCTGTTTACTCCCGTCTCTCTCTCTCTGTTTACTCCCGTCTCTCTCCCTCTGTTTACTCCCGTCTCTGTCCCTCGGTTTACTCCCGTCTCTCTCTCTGTTTACTCCCGTCTCTCTCTCTGTTTACTCCCGTCTCTCTCCCTCTGTTTACTCCCGTCTCTCTGTTTAATCCCGTCTCTCTCCCTCTGTTTAATCCCGTCTCTCTCCCTCGGTTTACTCCCATCTCTCTCCCTCTGTTTACTCCTGTCTCTCTCCCTCTGTTTACTCCCGTCTCTCTCCCTCTGTTTACTCCCGTCTCTCTCTCTGTTTACTCCCGTCTCTCTCTCTGTTTACTCCCATCTCTCTCTCTCTGTTTACTCCCGTCTCTCTCTCTGTTCACTCCCATCTCTCTCTCTCTGTTTACTCCCGTCTCACTCCCGTCTCTCTCTCTCTGTTCACTCCCGTCTCTCTCTCTCTGTTTACTCCCGTCTCTCTCCCTCTGTTTACTCCCATCTCTCTCCCTCTGTTTACTCCCATCTCTCTCCCTCTGTTTACTCCCGTCTCTCTCCCTCTGTTTACTCCCGTCTCTCTCTCTGTTCACTCCCGTCTCTCTCTCTCTGTTCACTCCCGTCTCTCTCTCTCTGTTTACTCCCGTCTCTCTCCCTCTGTTTACTCCCATCTCTCTCCCTCGGTTTACTCCCATCTCTCTCTCTCTGTTTACTCCCGTCTCTCTCTCTGTTCACTCCCGTCTCTCTCTCTCTGTTCACTCCCATCTCTCTCTCTCTGTTTACTCCCGTCTCACTCCGTCTCTCTCTCTCTGTTCACTCCCGTCTCTCTCTCTCTGTTTACTCCCGTCTCTCTCCCTCTGTTTACTCCCATCTCTCTCCCTCTGTTTACTCCCATCTCTCTCCCTCTGTTTACTCCCGTCTCTCTCCCTCTGTTTACTCCCGTCTCTCTCCCTCTGTTTACTCCCATCTCTCTCCCTCTGTTTACTCCCATCTCTCTCCCTCTGTTTACTCCCGTCTCTCTCCCTCTGTTTACTCCCGTCTCTCTCTCTGTTCACTCCCGTCTCTCTCTCTGTTCACTCCCGTCTCTCTCTCTCTGTTCACTCCCGTCTCTCTCTCTCTGTTTACTCCCGTCTCACTCCCGTCTCTCTCTCTCTGTTTACTCCCGTCTCTCTCCCTGTTTACCCATCTCTCTCTCTCTGTTTACTCCCGTCTCTCTCTCTGTTCACTCCCGTCTCTCTCTCTCTGTTCACTCCCATCTCTCTCTCTCTGTTTACTCCCGTCTCACTCCCGTCTCTCTCTCTCTGTTCACTCCCGTCTCTCTCTCTCTGTTTACTCCCGTCTCTCTCCCTCTGTTTACTCCCATCTCTCTCCCTCTGTTTACTCCCATCTCTCTCCCTCTGTTTACTCCCGTCTCTCTCCCTCTGTTTACTCCCGTCTCTCTCCCTCTGTTTACTCCCATCTCTCTCACTCTGTTTACTCCCATCTCTCTCCCTCTGTTTACTCCCGTCTCTCTCCCTCTGTTTACTCCCGTCTCTCTCTCTGTTCACTCCCGTCTCTCTCTCTGTTCACTCCCGTCTCTCTCTCTCTCTGTTCACTCCCGTCTCTCTCTCTCTGTTTACTCCCGTCTCACTCCCGTCTCTCTCTCTCTGTTTACTCCGTCTCTCTCCCTGTTTACTCCCGTCTCTCTCTCTGTTTACTCCCGTCTCTCTCTCTGTTTACTCCCGTCTCTCTCTCTGTTTACTCCCGTCTCTCTCTCTGTTTACTCCCGTCTCTCTCTCTGTTTACTCCCGTCTCTCTCTCTGTTTACTCCCGTTTCTATCCCTCTGTTTACTCCCGTCTCTCTCTCTGTTTACTCCCATCTCTCTCTCTCTGTTTACTCCCATCTCTCTCTCTCTGTTTAATCCCATCTCTCTCTCTCTCTGTTTACTCCCGTCTCTCTCTCTGTTTACTCCCGTCTCTCTCTCTGTTCACTCCCGTCTCTCTCTCTCTGTTTACTCCCGTCTCTCTCCCTCTGTTTACTCCCATCTCTCTCCCTCGGTTTACTCCCATCTCTCTCTCTCTGTTTACTCCCGTCTCTCTCTCTGTTCACTCCCGTCTCTCTCTCTCTGTTCACTCCCATCTCTCTCTCTCTGTTTACTCCCGTCTCACTCCCGTCTCTCTCTCTCTGTTCACTCCCGTCTCTCTCTCTCTGTTTACTCCCGTCTCTCTCCCTCTGTTTACTCCCATCTCTCTCCCTCTGTTTACTCCCGTCTCTCTCCCTCTGTTTACTCCCGTCTCTCTCCCTCTGTTTACTCCCGTCTCTCTCCCTCTGTTTACTCCCATCTCTCTCCCTCTGTTTACTCCCATCTCTCTCCCTCTGTTTACTCCCATCTCTCTCCCTCTGTTTACTCCCGTCTCTCTCCCTCTGTTTACTCCCGTCTCTCTCTCTGTTCACTCCCGTCTCTCTCTCTGTTCACTCCCGTCTCTCTCTCTCTGTTCACTCCCGTCTCTCTCTCTCTGTTTACTCCCGTCTCACTCCCGTCTCTCTCTCTCTGTTTACTCCCGTTCTCTCTCCCTGTTTACTCCCGTCTCTCTCTCTGTTTACTCCCGTCTCTCTCTCTGTTTACTCCCGTCTCTCTCTCTGTTTACTCCCGTCTCTCTCTCTGTTTACTCCCGTTTCTATCCCTCTGTTTACTCCCGTCTCTCTCTCTGTTTACTCCCATCTCTCTCTCTCTGTTTACTCCCATCTCTCTCTCTCTGTTTAATCCCATCTCTCTCTCTCTCTGTTTACTCCCGTCTCTCTCTCTGTTTACTCCCGTCTCTCTCTCTGTTTACTCCCGTCTCTCTCTCTGTTTACTCCCGTTTCTATCCCTCTGTTTACTCCCGTCTCTCTCTCTGTTTACTCCCATCTCTCTCTCTGTTTACTCCCGTTTCTATCCCTCGGTTTAATCCCGTCTCTCTCTCTCTGTTCACTCCCGTCTCTCTCTCTCTGTTTACTCCCGTCTCTCTCCCTCTGTTTACTCCCATCTCTCTCCCTCGGTTTACTCCCATCTCTCTCTCTCTGTTTACTCCCGTCTCTCTCTCTGTTCACTCCCGTCTCTCTCTCTCTGTTCACTCCCATCTCTCTCTCTCTGTTTACTCCCGTCTCTCTCTGTTTACTCCCATCTCTCTCTCTCTGTTTACTCCCGTCTCTCTCTCTGTTTACTCCCGTCTCTCTCTCTCTGTTTACTCCCGTCTCTCTCTCTCTGTTTACTCCCGTCTCTCTCTCTTTGTTTACTCCTGTCTCTCTCTCTCTGTTTACTCCCGTCTCTCTCTGTTTCCACGCGTCTCTCTTTCGCTGTCTACTTGCGACTCTTTCTCTTTTTACAAACGTCTCCCTTTCTCTCCTTGCGTCTCTCGCACCTGTGATTCTCAAAAAAGTTTGGTGCAGAGCGGAGAATCAGCAGCTAGCTTTGTTGTGGGATTATTAAAATATGCTGTTTCTATTATCTTTATAGTACGTTGCTTCTTACACACCGTTTAACCTTTGGTGCTTCATGTGTATAGATGATGTGGAGCAATTTGAGCCAATTCTGTGAAACGGCCGAGGTGGAGATGTTGTTCATACAAAGTCTAATTTTGGCTCAGTCAAAAGAGGGTGGTTATGCTGAAATTTCATTGTTTTAACATCCAGGTGACGTAGATCCAGAAGTTGTTCCACCGACTCAAATTTGGTGCAAATCAGTCGGAGAATCAGGCAACAAGGAGAATGCTGTCTTTGTTTGAACAAAAAATCAGGTTGTTGTTGTCTTTTCAATATTATGGACTTCCTGTCTGTCAGAGGGCATGGTCATTACAATTTTTATCTTGTATTGTCCTGGCTCTCGGACACAATGAATGCAAAAAAGTGAAAATCTAATTGGTGGCGTGATTTTGTTTGTTTCAGGAAAAAACTGAAAGCGGAAATGATCTTTGTGCTACTATTCATGCACGTTCAGGGGGTCAGAAAAGCAGAAGATTTAGTTTTTTTTTTTTCTGAAAAACAAAAACAAACAAAAAACCCAACAAATATTATAGGTTTCAACAGCACATTATACATGAAAGTATCAAAAAGCCCTTTTGCCAGTTCGGCGCTCGGGCCTAATAATAATAATAAAACATTGGTTGTATATGGTGCTTTTCAAGAACTCTCAGATGCTTCACAGTTCTGGACACACACATAAACATCCAGACAGACACACAAAACTAAAAATCTAAAATCAGGAATGAAGAGTGCAATGCTGAAGCTAAGAGTTGTCTGCTTGTTATTTGAAGGAGTTTAGTGAGTTTCTGAGGTGAGGGGGAGAGAGTCCAGAGAGTGGGAGCAGAGATGTCGAATGCTTGTAAAGGTACTTCCCACTGATCCATGCTTTTGAAATATACATTATGGATTAGTGCATATAAATGTCGAGTTCTGCTTCCTCGCGAATCAGCGGGAGCCCATCTGATTTGGATTTCTTTAGTTTTTATACTCATTTATCAATTTCACCCCTGTTCTAATACAAACAAACATGATTTAGTTTGTTTTGTGTGCAAATAAGTGAACGGTTCGACACATTAATTTGAAACCATTTCCAGTCACTATCAAAGCCTCGTGATGATGGGAGATACGTGTTTATTATTATTATTATTATTATTATGATGAGAGACTTCCCACAGCGAGTATTTCTGCTTTACGTCACGTCTAGAAAACAAGAAAGGACCGCATTTCAAACGCATTCTTGTCTCAAAATCAGGCTAATGAGTAGAAAAAGATTGCATGTGAGCTCGAAGGCTGTTAGTGGCGTGCTGACAGAGAACGTGATAAAGTATTAGATGTTCTAGAATGTTATAAAGAGCAGCAGCAGACTTGAGAGCCGAGGCAGACACAATATTATCCACTCCACTGGCTCTGGCTAATCACATCAGCCCACTCACTCCCATACGCCAGGCAGACAGACACGCACGCATGAATGGACCCTGAAGAGAGCCCGTTTGAAGCCAACATCTGACTCGGAAACTCATCTGAACGTATTTTGGGGCGAAGGAGAGTCGAGAGAAAAGGAAAGGATTACGTAAAAAAAAATTGCTCATAATTGACTTTATAATGTTGGGCGGAAGAGGAAATGAGTTAGAATATGTGTCTTTAGGGGTTTTTTGACTCATGTTGAAAGGCTGTGTTTATTTGGAAAGTACGTTTAATTTATTATTGCTTTGATCAACATTAAAATCCAGTTTTATTCATTGGATTTCATTTAGTTCCTTATGATTTAACTGATTTTTTTATTTTGATGAATGATGTGTGTGTGTACTGTAATATTCATGAATGAGTTTGTACTGTGAGTGTTCTTTCCAGGCCAGGTTGTCATTGTTCTCAATTGGTTGAATATTAAATAAATTCATTCAGTTTTTCAGTAAACTAAAACAAATGCCGCTCAGTTTGTACAGAAAAGGCCCTGCAGGGTTTTGTTGCTCAGTGGCTTTTCATGCAACCCACTACATAAGATGGGGACATAATCTGATATCTGATTTTCTTTTCGAGAGGGTCCTATGAACATAAAACAACACAATACACTGTACATCTACAACAGTTACAAGGAAGTTAATCATTTGTGAAATCCTACAGTAGTGATACATCAGGGGGTGAAATGCCTGGATCAAACCCCAACAACAGCAGGGGCAGCGACTGGACCCAGAAAGTGAGAAAACATCTCCAGTGTGGTTTTAACTCGATCTGCTCATTCCGTCACACAGATTTAGGCGGAACCAGCGACTGTCAGCACTGTTGTTGCTATTCTATTGCTTTGTATTCTAAAGTAAATGACAGATTAGGACATTTAACATTTTAACACACATACAGTATAGTGGAACAGGGTGGAAAGATTGTTACAAATTAATGAAAAAGTGGCTTGTGAGAGTTTGTCTTATACATGTGAGGTGTTTTTTGAAGGTAAGTTACACTGTTGCCCCCTTAAAGAAATGTGTCCTCTGCATTGGACCCCTTCTGTGAAGCCACTCGGGCATCGGCCAGGGGCAGTTATCGCCACAGTGCAACACCTGGTATCTCCAGATGTTGATGTTGATGCTGGGCTGGGTCAGGATCGGAGCAGACGGATTTGACCTATTTATTATTGTTTTTTATTTTCTAAAGAATATATTGTTATTCTTTAGATTAAATGTATGAATTAACTTAAATTAACAAATTTCGGGCACATTTATTTCATATTAGTGTTTTTAAAATGTTGAGAGTAATTTTTAATGGACAAATATGAGACGGACTCTGATTATTTTACATGACAGATAACTTTTGGCGCATACGTTGTTGCTAGTTGGTATTTATGACATGGTTTATATATTCTTAACTTAACTTTCTTCACTCAATGATGAACAACAACAAAACTGTGATACAAGTCTGCTCGTATGCAGTCCTTGTACTTTATGCCTAGAAGCTGCAGAGTAGCTTTTCCACCATATCATTGGGTGTGATTTATTTATCTCTCTTTGCAAAATGGCACGAGTGGAGCTTGCGTCTCTCCAAATCCACCGCGCTGTCTGGCCATGCATAAGCTATGAGTGTGTCCGCGCTGTAGTCTGGATGCTCGCGTGTCTCCTGTCAGGTATCCTCGGCTCGCCATCACCTTAAAACTGCAGCCCGTGGAAAGGTAAGCGGATGAATGAATTGGGATGTTTTTGCGTGTACTCTGAGCGTGTGGACTACCCCCCGGGGAGAAGGAGCGTGCAAACCCGGCCTCTGAGCCAGGTCTGGGGGGATTACGGGCTGCCATGATGGGGAAATGTGGGAGCACTCTGCTTTGCTCGCACGCCATGCTGCTTTTAAGGACAGACAGGAGAGAGAGTGTGTGTGTGTGTGTGCGTGTGTGTGTGTGTGTGTGTGTCTGTGTGCGTGTCTGTGTGTGTGTCTGTGTGTGCTGCCTCATCAAAAAAGGAACAGTCCCCTCCTCTACTGTTTAATGCTGATACAAGTCAAAGCAGGTCGCAGCAGCTGAAATAATGCCATTTTGCAGTTTTATTGCGTATGAATCAACTGTCAGAAGGAGAATATTCATAAGTCATGTCCTGCCACAAAAGTTTAAGAAAAAAATATTCCCTATTACAATATACATATTTTTCTTTTGGCCATAAAAAATGATAAAGGAACTATTTTGTCAAATCGCGTTTTAGAATGTGAAATAATGGCTTAAGTAGAAAATAAATGGTGAAACAAGTATAAAGGGTAAAAAATGCGTTCTGCCGGTAACTCCCTTTGCCACCACCAGAGGGAGGAGTTGAATTTGTTTTGTAAATTTGAACATTTACGGTGAATACTTACAATAGAGGGAAACTGCTCTGTCATATTGCTACAATGATATTGAGGCAGGAGCTTTCAGACAGAAGGGAAGCGTGACATGATACATGACGATCCCGAAGAATCGCGGAAGGAAACACTGTTGTAACATGATTACAGGTTCAAACAAGTCCATTTAACATTATGTGTCTCCTTTAAGAAAAACAAGACATAGACTTCTGTTTATGTCTGTACCGCACTCAGAATCACTACAAAGTCAAATCATAAATGTTTGAGAACAGAAAATAACCTCTGTTTATATAATGAACTTGTTTGCACACAAGCAAATCGTTTTAATTGAAGGCAGACGTTTTCAGAACGAGACAAGAGATGAGTGACGCCAAAGGCCTTCACAGCTCAAACAACAAATCTCACAAATTCAAGATTCAGGTTTTTTAAAGCTCAAGAAGAGAAGAGCATTGTGTTAGAAATATTCACTGCTAATAGATGGTTTAACACAAGGACATGGAGTGAACACATTTCCTGCTATGATAGAGTCCAGTCATGTCCAAACCAAGGCCCATAATCCATTTGCGGGCCACTGTGTCATATTACGCGGCCCTCTGCCTTTCAAACACAAAGTAGTCATCCAGCCAACTTCAGCTCAGACACCATCACCATGCTGCACATTGTTGTAAAGCTCAGGAGCTGGCTGTATTTGTGTATTCACATCGACATTTGTTATTGATCATGTCACAACATTACGTTAATGTTGCTAATTCATCTGGTTTTCATTTGTCATTCAGCCAACTATAGCTCGGACTTTCATTAAAAAAAACATGTTTTTTTTCCCACAACAGAAACAAGTCAAATGTTGTGAACAAACCGGACCACATCATGCCGTCTCCATCTTATAAAATATGTTGTTTTGAGCAGACTTGTATGTTTGACGCTCTTTGACCCTTTAGGCTGAGGGTGCTCTCCTTTTCAGTTTTCTAGCAGAAAAATCTTGTCTAAAGATGTGGAAGAGGACAAAAATACATGCATGTGAACACCAGTGATAGAACCAAACTGTTTTGAGATCAAGGAACTAGTAACATGCAGATTTAATTCAATATTGTAGCTTGAAAGTTCCCCTAGATTGTTGCATGTTCACACGATTTATATGGACATCGAACTAAATTTTCCTCCATCTTAGGCCACAAAGTTTTAAAAAACGATATGCACTTAGATTTAAACGGGTACACTTTTCCTATAAACTTCAAATCTAACAACAACCCCGCTTTCAAACAGCGAAGCTAATGAGTTCTCTGCACTAAAGAAACAAACACTACTGAGAATGCATTAAAGGCTTAACGCAAAGAAAAGATGGTGTCAAGGCAAAGATTCACCACTGGGAAAAATGAAAACAAAGCAATTTATTCCCCAGATGCCGCATTGTTTCACTTAAATCAGGCCAAACTGATGACGGGCACAGCTTGAAACTCTCGGAACCATGTGACCGCCAGCCAATGAGCATCCGGACTCACTCTCTCCCACTTTATAACACTGAGCTCATCGGAGTCACCTGGGAAAATGATTCCCATCTTCAAAGCCTCCGTCCTCTCACACTCACTCCGCCACTCAGAGCAGCAATGAGACGCCTTGTAAAAAATATGACATATGAATTTACAGCCACGGCTATTTATGACAAGTGAATAAAAGGGAACAATAAAAGCTGCAGCAGAGCCAGACGTGGATGATATAATACGTTCCACTCGGGGGGACAGCAGAGGAAAATAGCAACAAAAGCCATATTCCAGTAAAAATGTGAAGTGTTGGTGATGTGCTGTGGTAATGAAACGGGTCAAATGGTTGGATTTGTGAGGGGAATATGAGCGGGGAATAATGGGACATGAACTAAAAACTGTTGTTTGACAGTGCAGTGACATGGGTTATATACAGGGGTGCACATAACTTTTTCAGTGAGGTACTCAGATGAGCACCAGGAGATGGTGTTTGGTACTCACTCCATTTGTCTGGTTCTTAATCGAGATTTTATACTCGATTCTTTTTAATGCTTAAATTTAGATCAGCCCAGATAATCCACTCAATCCAAGTCAAATAATGACTCACAGGGCTCTTTTTCAAAAATGCAAAACAAAATCCAAACAATGTTCTGTTTGATTTGTTCACAACATTTTCATTTTGGGCACAACCAACATTTTTATGCATTATTAATCCAAGGGAAAATGTAGGTACCACAGCTTTAATGTAGAGACACGGGGAGGAAAGGGACACTCCCTGAAGGCTCCACAGTCCAGCTCTGTTTTTTGCAGTAACACAATATGTATTTATTTATTTTGCGTTACACAAAGACACACACTTTCTTGTTGCAAGTGTGTGCCTTCAACCCACCAGGTAAAAGTGTCCTGGTTCGGTCCTCGCGCACAGGCCCAGAGGAGCGCGACAGACCGGTAAATGTGTGTGTAAATGTATGCTTGAGTCCTTTGGCGAACGACTAGAGAATGGATGATGCGTGTGGATGTTACGTATGAATGGAACGAGAAAAAAGGGTGCACGAGTGTGGAATGGCGTGTGTGTGTGCGTGCCAGTGTGTGTGTGCGTGCCAGTGTGTGTGTGTGGCATGAAAGTCAGCCTTTAGTATAATACTATATTCACGCACGTAGAGACGGACCGCTCCGTCACACTGGCATTGCACCACGTCCCCCCAGGGAGGAGCGTCTGTTTGAGAAGGACTGGTCTATGTGAAGTACGCAAAGGCGCTTACTAACTCAAGTGATAGTACGCATTTCTGATATTTGTCGCGCATGCGCACCTGCGTACCACTTATGTGCACCCCTGGTTATATATGGGTTATTGCACTCAACTCCTCATTTTGGATTTTTCTTTTTAATTAGGAAGGGCATATGTAAACCAGGGATGTTAAACCAGGCCTCAAAGGGGCCGGTGTGACTGCGGGTTTTCATTCCAACCAAGAAGGAGCAAACGCTGCAAAAGATGATAAAATATTGAGTTACAATATCATACTGCTCATCCCATTGGTAAACATTGTTTTAAGACCATCAGAATGTGCTCAAATTAAGATGAATTTAGCAAGATTTGACTCATTTTTCATCACTTTTAGCAGTGCACATCCATTTCCACATGTGAGTTCATTCTTCGTTAAAGTCAGAAATGAAGTCTTGTGTGCTCCTGCTTGGTTGCGATGAAAACCTGCAGCCACACAGGCTCCTTCTGGAACCAGCTTAACACCCTGGATGTAAACTGCACTTATAAAAAGCAATCTAATATCAGTGCATTCTGTTCTTTGGCCACTTAAAGCTTTTGTTTCTTCAAATCAGACCACAATATGTATGCTGTATGTGATATTTGGGTAAGAAGACAGCCTGTGAGTCACTTTTCAACCATTTTTTTGCCAGTAGGCTACTTCCTCATCAACAGTTTTCTCACAATCAATCCTACTACACTTGCTGAACGATGACTGAGTGGGTCCGGAAGTCCATAAATGGTATTCCAGCAACTGTACTCTTCTGTTGTTATGACCTCTTGAAATGCATTATGTCTTGGAATTCTTCTTCATTTATCAATTTGGATTACATTTTCTTTGTTTTCATTAGTTTAATTTTTTTTCACGTTACACATACAACACAGACACCTTTTCTTTTTGTTATCCTTTTTACCCCACTATCTGCTCCTTGTGTTAAACAATAAATACATAACGAGCACATAATAAGTAAAAAAAAACATGTCAAGTTTACAGCCATAAAACATAATTATTTTATTTTGCTTTCTCTTCACAGTTGTCTGTTCCTTGTGTGTGAACTTTCAGTAAAAAACCCAAATTAAAATCTTTATGTTGGCTGTAAACAAGACAAAATGTGCAAATGTTCAAGCTGTATCAATACTTTTAAGAGCCACCGTAAATCGTGTATTGTTTGCCATAAAAAATGACAATAAGACATTCTGCTACAATCCTTCATCTGACTTTAGGAGTTGGTTCGGCGAGTCCTTTACTACAGTCACTTACTACAGAAAACATGGAGATTTTGGACAGATACAGACCGGCTCCATCTCATAGGAAATCACTCCCTGAGCTGCAGATGCCGCACCTGCACGGCTTATTTTCAGATGGTTTTAGTCATTGGAGCTGGCAAACACAACTGAGTAGCTCTTGTTGCTTTCTGAATTGAAACTAGCCGATTGAACCAGCCACACACACCATGGGTAACCGCGGGTAACGACACGTGTGTAGTGTACTTGTTCCTCACTCATTCATGTCAGTTTTCGGCTGCTGCTAAATGGGACTAATCAAAGTTGTAATACATAAATATAGGAAAGTGTGCTGCAGTGTCTTTCCCTAAAACACATCTGGTGACAGTTTTGTGCTGAAGAGAGAAGCCTTGATATTGGAATCATAATTTCTGTCACGAACCCATTCCCCAGATACTTAGGCGCACTTGAAGCCAGTCCTCTCACATTTAGCAGATGGATGAGGAACGGCTCACACTCTCTGACCTCTCCTGACTTCTAAATCCACTT